TCTGAAAACAGGTGACCCCCACCTCCTTCTTTCGCAAATATCTCAACTTGTATTCAAGATAAATGGATTTTTTTTTTCATCCTAATAAAGACAAGTGAACAATCTTTAAGGTGATACCAATACTTCTACATGCCCAAAAATTGACAAGAGCCTGATTCCACCACGTTGCCTCACAATTGCCATTGTGTGCAAATACGCTTTCAGTAATATTGTTTAAATTGTATTTTCACCTATGTAGGCACTTATGTGTGTGTATGTATTTGCGTCTGTGTGGGGGGAGAGGGGTGCATTATAAGTGAAGGTGGACGGTGCTGATGCAATAATACAACAAAGGTCATTAAACACAAGACAGACACAAATAACAAAGGAAATGAATGTTAAAAAGAACCACCTACCAGTGGGGCTTCTTTCCATCCACTCATAAAACGTTGTTCATTCAAAAGTATTACAATCGTTTTGAGAAAATGCCTCTTTTTGTTTGTTTGTCGTTCGAGTAAAGAGAAGCACATAGACACAATAACGGTCATTTGATGCTGGGAAAAAGCAAGAAAGACAGAGAGAAACAACAGAGGGAAAGTAAAGAAATAGGACCTACCAGTGGGGCCCTCCAACCACTTGATCTAACCAAAGAAAATATCACATTTACTCATCACAAGACATCGTTGTCCCCCCCCCACCTCCCTCTCCCTTCTCTACCACCACCACATTTTTTCAGTTCACACCTCCAAACTCTCTCCACATCTGGGCTGACATTTGAAACCCCAGTATGCAGTATAATGCCACGTTTGCACTGCTCAAGTGTCACTTTGACTTTTATTAGCACGACCTGCCAACTCTATAACTCATTTTTTTTCTCCTTTACAAATACTCGAAAAGAAAAACAACTCAACAAACTAAAAGAAAACAATTTAGAAAAATAATAAAAACAAACGTTCAACACCAAAACAGGAAAGAAGACCATAACGAACCCTACAACAAAAACAACAAAGAATCCCACGTTGAAGCCCCTCGCTCCCCAAAATCCAAAGCCATTAGCAACGTGTCGCCACGACAGTTATGTAAAGTGAGAGCCATGGTCAACATCAACCGCCTCCCTCCTCCCACTCTCCACCCCCCCCTCCCCAAAAGAAAGCCCCAACCAGACTGACGCCCATTCGTTCAATCAATACGTGGACATTTCCTGGAGCAATCTGGAAAAACAAACTTCACGAGTTCGCGTCTTCCGGGATCTCGACCTCTTTCTCTCTCTCAACACTCTAGAGCACCGGGGAACAGCAGCGACCCTGCTATGCTAAACGAGTACCTCGTCTTTTTGAGTTACGTCTTTTTTAGTTAGAAGAAGTTTTTCGGCACTCGCAACTGCATAAGGTCATATGAACGCCAAGGGGTAGATGTCGACAGAGAAGTCCTTACAGGGAATTGGGCTTACTCTGCTCACCTTTCTAGCTTCAATCGCACAAACTCTGTTTCGACTATCAAGGCACCCAGAAATAGCTTGTCACAAGAGTGTGACAAACATACACAAGAAGGACAGGAAAAATGACAATAGTAAGGATTAGGAAATAAAAAGCAGCAGTTGCCTGTTGCAGTTCAGACACAGTTATGAGCATGACATTGATGAATCAGCCCATTTACAATATACAATTCTACTGTGCATAAGAACATGTTAATGTCCCCCCTTTGGGAATGGCCTAAAGACACTTCAGTCAGTAGCACCGTCCCTAGGGGTTTACCTCGTCTTTATGGTCCACCTGATCATGATGGTACTGGTAGTCAGTTTTAGTTTTAGTTTCAGTAAGAGTTTTTCGGCACTTGCAACACAAAATAATCTGCCTATGCAAGTGCAACGGATTCTGTCCCTATTACTTCTTTTGCTTGGATACACAGTTGTTGTCCTCATCTTGCGCTCTGTCTATCTCTGCTTCAGATTCTTTAAGGCGGTGGCACATGCGCACAATATACATGTATATATACATATACATATAAAGAGAGAGAGAGAGAGTGTGTGTGTGTGTGTGTGTGAGAGAGAGAGAGAGA